CGCCCCGGTCCGGGCTCGCGCGCCTGCTCGCCTGGCTGCGGGGCGGCCGCACGCCGTCCGCGCAGCGGGCCCGCTCCCGGTCCCAGGACGAGAGGGGCCCCCTGAACCGGGCGCTGAGCACCACGTCGGGGTAGAGGGCGGCTGGCGATCGCGCGCGAGTGCGTCCCGGGGACGGAATCAGGCCGGGACTGGGCGTCTGCCTTTTAAAACCCCTCCCGTGACTCAGTTCCCTTCAGAACCGTCGGCGGCAGGACTGGCGGGCGCCGAGATTCCGCATTTCCAGCAAGCTCCCAAGAGGCGAAGTCAGCGCTGCTGGTCCGCGGACCCCATGGGGACCAAGGCAGGGTTAAAACCACAAGATTTCTCGAACTAGGGTACTCAGGATGCACCTTCCTGGAGCTCAGATTTACCAGATGGCGGGAGGGGAAGGGAGGGAAGTATTTTTACAGGAAACCAGTGATGTGTGGGTTTGGAGTAGAAAACTGAAAGGTTTGGTAAGTACTGGTCCAGTCTAACTCTTCATGTAGTCACCTAACCAACGTTTATTGAACTAGACGCTTGATCCCACAATCTTGAGGGACAGGTTCTATTAGCTCCAATTTCTACCCATGATCCAACTGAGGTACATGGAGATTAATCCACTTACCTGAAGTATAGGGTCTGCATACTCACCATTAAGCACCATGTGGTTCAATTACCGTTTGGTAAGTGAAAGAACACCCCCCCCCCCCACCACCCACAACATACCCAAGGTACTGAAGGTCTTGCCTGTAAGAGGCCTCATCTCTACCCTACTGACCCATCACCAACCAAGGGGTTTATAAGGTAGAAAGAGCAAGGGGTGCCGTGGTCAGCCTGGGCTAATCCAAGTGCAGTGGGCATCTCTGCTTAAGGTCTTCTTAGTATTTGAATGTGCACAGCGGCCCCTGAGACCACAGCACATGACATTTCCTCATGAATCCGACATCTGTATGGGCCTGGTATTCTACCATGCAATACCCTGTGGGCAATGCTGCTAAGTACCAAATCTTTCCAATGCCCACCTCCCAACCACGCAGCAGCTGGGTGGCTGTCCCGATTTGTAGCAGGGAGGGCTAACTCGGACCTCCTTATAGCGCACCCATGCCCTGACATGTCTTCTCTACCCACCATGCACTAGAAGACAAAGACCACTGCACTTGGGTCTGTCCCAGGGCCAGGCGCAGAGCTGTGGCCAGTAACTGTTTGGTGGGGGAAACATTAGTGGAATCTTGGTCCAGTGCTGCCTGTGCCGCTCCTGGCTGGGGTCCTGAAGGCTGGGGGGGGGGGGCGGCTTACTGTTTACCACTGTGCTGGGCCTTGCCCACAGCAGGTGCTCAGCAGACAAACAGATGCACAGCTGACTGAACCCGACGTCCATCTTCACACCTCCCTGTGTTCCCTGCTACCCTCCCCTGCTTCACTTGTAGCACTTCCCACTGTCTAACACAATACCATTTCTCTGTTTATTGTTTTTTCATCAGAATGAAAGCTCCTTGTGGGCAGGGGCCTCTGTATTCCCCGATACCTAGAATTGTGCCTGTACACAACAGGCATTCAATAAATATTTGTTACAGACTGGATGGCATGAGTGAATCAGATCCGTGGGGCTTCTGCAGAGTCTGGCACAGGTGAGAGGGAGCTGGGGGGTGGGGGGGGAACCTCACTCCCTGAAACCTCCTTTCAGTGTTGAAAAGTTAGGGAAGCCAGGTTCAGTTGGCCGGGTGACAGGGCCAGTGGGCTGCAGAGACACCCCAAGCAGCCTTTGGGATGGTGCGAGGGGGACTGGTTCCTGACTGCAGCCTCCTGGCCTGGGTCGGACCCACGACCTTGAGACGAAATACACATTTTAGAGAGTCACCCTCCAGTTGTCAGCTCCCAAGGAACCAGAGAATTTACCCTTCATGGTTGCAAGGCACTTGATGAAGGAGGAGAGAGGAGGAAGGAGGCGGGGGTCAGGGCTGAACCTCTTCCCTCCTCCAGTCTCTTCCAGGCCGCAGGTTCCCTCTGGGCTTGAGAGCCCCGGAAGGCTCGGAGCCCCTCTGGGGTGGGGTGGGGTGGGGTGGGGCTAGCGCCGGAGTGCCGCGCCCCGCAGAGGCATGTGGCCAGTGGCCCAGTGGCCCAACGAGGGCGAGTCTGACACAGCGGTTGGCCACAGAAGGCCTCTGGGCTGTCCGGCGCTCACATCTTGGCTGCTGACCCCTGGGGTGGCTTCTGCAGCAGCGCCAGCGTGTCCCGCTTCTGAATGGAGCGAAGCTGCTGCTTCTTCGCCCGCTTGAGCTTGGCAGGGTTTCGGATCTGGGGGTGGTGTGAGGAGAGGGCATTAGTGTGGCTGTCGCCTCTGCCCTGTGCCCCGGGGAAAGGGAAGCCGCCCTGCAGGGGCGCCGAGGCATCTCGAGCACAGCACCCAGCCGGGCCGCAGTTCAGACCCCCCGAGCGAGACCACACTCACCACTTGGACAACCTCTGCCCTCCGCTCATTCTCCAGGCGGCGTTTCAGGTTCTCGGCCCGGCGCTGTTTCTTCTCCTGGAACACAGAGGGGACGGGGATTTGAGGCTGGCAGCCGGGGCAGCCCTGGTCTCTTAGGCCTCAAGGGAGTGAAAGCTGGCTGAGTTCCCAGGGAGAGGGAAGACTCTCTCACCCCGGCTCGATTGTTGCTGGCGGTGTGGGCCAGCAAGGAGCTATGCCCCTGCCCGTGACCGCAGCCGAGAAGGTGGGCACCTGGTCGCGCAGCTTAGATTGGATGGTAGGTGCGGGGAGGTAAGACACAGGTGGCTCCCCACCTGCAAACTCAGGCACATGCACAACGGCCCCCACACCCCCTGCCCCATCAGCTGCGGGGGGGAGGGGGGAAGGGGTGGAGGCTCTGGGGAAGAGGCTATCTGGGCCTGGTTCAAATCCTGGCTCTGCTGCTTCCAAATGGGTGACCTTGGCCAAGTTGCTTAACCTCTCTGTGCCTCAAGGCCCCATACTGAAAGCGAAGAGATTACTCCGGATTGCCCTGAGGAATAAACGAATGCAAGCATGCACTGGCCTGGGAGGGGTACCGGCCCAGCGGGAACACTTCAAAGATGGATCTAGTTGGAGTCTGTCTCAGGGATGGGGAGTCCAGTGTCTTCTGGCTATGCTGACTGCTGCCCCGGGCGGGGCCCGAAGGGATGTCGGCTCTGAGGCCTCTCCTGGCTTTGAGGACTTAGGGGAGCAAAGGTGGCCTGGGCCCCTGGGGAGGAGAAAGGAGAAGTGAGATTTGGGCTCCTGTCAGGGAAGGGCTGGGCTGGGGACACTCCCGGGGCGGGGGTGACAAGAAGCCAGTCTTGCTCAAGAGGTAGTCCGGGCCGCACAGGAAGTAAGATAAGGACTCGGCACACAGCAGCAGTAGGGTGCCTCACAACAGGGGAGAGATGGCTGAATTGCCTGGCCCAGCCCCTTCCCTCGGTGGCCAGGCTTGGGCCTGTGCCCCTGGGATCACTAGGCAAGTGACACCCCTCTGATAACCCCAGTCCTGGTGGGGTGGTCGCAGACCTCATACTCTCGTGTGCTGCCTGCTGGGGCTTCCTGGAGCCCGAATGGGTCGGGGGGTGGGGACCTCTAAGCAGGCATTTCTGACCTGGGGATGAGGGGCAGGAAGAGAGCATGAGGAAGGTGTGGGGTATCCACTTTGCCGATGCGTGGTAGCTGTCTCTTGGAGAATGACGGCAACAGTGCTGGGGATAAGGTTTTCCTACCTGAGCGAGGACCCTGAAGCCCATTTCACCAAATGCTTTGATCAGCAGTGAGGGCCACTGCGGGGGGCTTTGTCCTGGGCTCCTCCCCATCCTTGAGTCTCTCATAGAGCCCTGGGCTAAACTGGACACTGCACTCGGCTTCCCCACCCTGCGGTCCCAGACTGCACTTCTACTTCTGGCCAGGCTCCCTTCCTTCCTAGGGCCAGCAGCCCCCCCACCCGCCAGGCCTATTCCAGCAGTCACCACCTCAGCCCCCTGAGCTCCAGCCTCAGCCTGGCCGGCTGGCCCCTCACCTGCCGTCGTTTCTCCTTTTCCTCCTCTAGGTGCCGGGCGAAGTCCTTGGCCAGCTTCCTCTCCTGCCGTTCCTTCATCTTCCGCTGCCAGGATGTGCGCAGGGGCTTGTCCTGAACCATTTGGGAGAACCTGGAAGGGAGACAATGGGCGCTCCTGTCATCTGTGGGAGGCGCCCATGCCCACTCTCCCCTCAGCTCTGGGCTCCGGGCCTTCCTCCCCAGAACCGAGGCAGAATTACATCCTCCCCTGCCCGTTCGCCAGGCAGCACCCCTCCAGGTCTGCAGAAATGGGCCCCAGTCATGCCGGCTGCCATTTCTTAAGCCCTAGTTACATGTCCCTGAGACGGTACTCTTGTTCTTCCCATTTTAAAGAGGAGCAAACCAAGGCTCAAAGAGGTTAAATAACTGTGCCAGGTCACCTTGTACCTGAACAGCTGTCAAGACTGAAACCCCTGTGACCAGAGTCCAGACCACAGAGCCTTTCTGTAAGGTTCTGCTGCTTCCGCCAAGCAGGCTCAGCTTGGGTGCTAATGCTTCTGGAGCTAGGGCTCACTCCCTCCAGGGGCGGCCTATTCCATTTCGGAACAGTGCGGGGGTATATGTGAAAATGTAGTGGGCCTGAGAGGCTATCCGGGGACGTCCTGATTTTCCTAAGTGTGACAGTGACATTACAGTCCCAGGAGAAACAGGACCATCTTGGTAAGCGATAAGCATACTGCATATGGGTGGCATGATCTATCTAGGACATGCTGGAAAATATTCCAGGAAAGAAAGGAATGTCAAGGAGCCAGACGAAGCTAGACCAGTACGATTATGAGTGCTGCTGAGCAGACGAGGAGAACGGGGCTGGGGGTCACAAACCACGCTCTCCCCTTTCCCATAGGTCTTTCTCCTTGAGCTATCTGCAGCCTTGCTGGCTGCCCCGTGGGCCTTTTCTCCTTAGCAGATCCTCTCATAGTGGCCTTTTTGCCTCCTCCACCAATTTCTTGACTTCTGAAAGAGCTCTTCTTCATCCACTTCCATTATATGGTGCCCCAAATGGTCACTGCAGGTCGGTGGGCTCGCCCCAGCTTCTGAAGGCTGCGGTGCACAGGGCAGAGACCACTTCCCTCAATACCGCTCTTCTGGGTCATTTTCTCCCCCTTATTCCACAGGAGTCTGGTACACACAGCCTGGACCTTGACCCCAGGGCTGAAGGCCTGTCCATCTTCAGCCTGGTTCTAACCCCAGAACGGCCCTCGACTGCTCCCTCGCCCTCTCCCCTAGGACTTCCTGCTGAAGACCTGGTGTCCTAAGCACAGACTTCCTCCCCACCCCGGTGATGAGAAACCGAAAGGGGCAAGGCCGTGGGGACCTGGACACACACAGAGCCACAGGGCACAATGCTGCCTCCTTCTAGAGCAGCGCTGCCGAGCAGAACTGTCTGTACTGGTGGAAAGGCTCGATATTTACACTGTCCGGAGAGGCAGCCACTAGTCACTGGCAGCTGAGCAACTTGAGATGTGGCTGGTGTGATGGAGGAACTGAATGTTTAAGTTTTTAAATTTTAACCAACTTAAACTGAAATTGCCACGTGTGCCTGGCAGCTACGCTACTGAGCTGACACAGTTCCAGAGTTATCGGTTTTACCTGGAGGTTGAAGGCAGACAGGCCTGGGTTTCAAGGCCGGGATCTGCCTCCTACTACCTGGGTGATCTTGGGCAAAGTAGCCGGAGTTTCAGCGACTTCCCACATTAAACAGAGACAAGAACGGTTCCTGTTCCAAAGGCGGGTGGGATTGAGACAAGGCTGGAGAGGCATTTAGCACAATGCTCTGCACATGGTTGCTGCTCACCAAACACTGCCCTTCAGAGGAGGGAGATGTCACACCCAAGGGGCACTGTGCAGGTGGCATTTGGCCTAAGCACGGAAGGAGGGGGGGGATGCAGCCGGGCCTTCCCAGCCCACTGCCGCCCTCCATATCCCTCGTTTTGCTGGGACACCTTCTGCTGCAGGTGCTGCATCCACTGTCTCTGGGCTCTGCTCAACACCCGCCGAAGCTGCTTCCTCAAAGAGCCCAAACATCAATTCAGTGGCCCTTTGACCCTTATCCACAAGACCTACCTGCAGCTTCTAAACGTGTTTTAGTTCTACTGCAACCGCCTCCTTACTGGTCTCTCTGCTTTCACCCCTGAAGTCCTATGGTCTGATAACTCCGATTTCTCTGCACAGCCTTGAGTTCCCCATATGTAAAATGAGGATAATCGTAACACCAGAGGCTTCACAGTGCTGCGTGCAGACTAACTGCATGCAGCATGCTAGTCCCTCTGTCTGCAAGGCCTTTGAGCTGGCCGGTCCTTACCAAAATGCTTAGCAGTGTTCTACAGGCTCAGTGCTCCATAATATTTTTTAACAGGAGGGCAAATAACCGTATAACACAAGGGCAAATAACCGTAACAGATACTAGCTGGCGAAGACCTCACAGCTTTTTACCAAGTAAGGGCTGGTTTACTTGCTTCTGCTTCCCTCACTGGAAAGCGGGCAGACAAGAGGTAATGCTTGTTGAATGAAAACAAATGAGGTGCTCTATGAGAGGGACACAGGTACTCTGAGGAGGAAAGCATCACAGAAATAACCTTTGAGGGCATGGTCTCACCCTCCCTGGGATCCCAGAGCATTTTACCACAGCCTGATTATAATTACCTGTTTGTGTGAGACCCCCCAAATGTGAGCTCTCTCCATCCTTGAGCCTGTCTCCGGGCTGCACTGGTGCCCCAACACCACAGAGAACCACACACCCCTGCCTAGCTTTCCCCAACTTCACCTTTTCTTGGAGCGGTCCTTCCACACCCGCCCGGATTTGGGCTTTCCCTTAGGGATTACAGGAACCTCCTCCCCCTCCTTCAACTTCTTGGACGCTGGGGCCTGGGCTGAAGAACTTGCCCGCTTCTTTGCCCCTAGGCCGCTTTTCACCGTCTCCCCGGCGGAAGGTGGCTTGCTCGGCTCGTGCTGACCCTGGGGGGAGCCGGGTGACTGGGCTGTCGGCTCCTGTAGTGGTCGCGAGGGCTCCGGACCCGGCGCTTGCTGAGCCGGGTAAGGCTCAGGGGATCCTGGGCCCAGCTGCAGCTGATGTTGGGGAGACCCCGAGGCCAGCTCCTTCTTACTCAGGGCCAACTCCGAGTCCAGTTCTTCTTGGGTTTGGGAGAACTTTGCTGACTGCCCACTTGGCTTTGGCTGAAATCCGGGGGGTTGTAGACCCGACTCCGGAAGCGTCTGGGGCGACTCCACGCCTGGATCTTGCTGAACCTGGTGGTCCCCTGGGCCCGGCTCCAGCTCCCTTCCGGGGGACCCCAAACCTGCACCCTGCCGTAGAATAGGTGATTCCGGGCTTGTCTCCGGCTGACAGCGGGGGGACTCCAGGTCGGGTTGCCGCGCACTCGGAGACCCGGGCTCCTTCGATTCTTCTGGATCCGACCTGAACTCCACAAGGGCCCGTCTCGCCCTCAAAACTGAGCTGGGGGTCTCGGGGGATTCAGGGTTTAGGCCTTCCAGCCGCCGGCTGCGCCTGAGCGGCGTATCCATGGCCGGGCCTGAAAGTTTCAAGTTTCAGCCCACGTGCAGCCTCCACCGACTCTGGGGCGACCGGCGCGGTCCTATGACGCCAGGAGCCGCCGCGTCTGCGCGAGGCAGGAGGGGCCGTTGCCCGGGAGACCATGTTGGTGATGGGCGGAGAGGCGGGGCCGAGGGCCCGAGGCGGCCGGGCTTAAAAGGCGCGTGCGCAAAGAGCTTGGGCGCGTTTACCCGCCAGGGAGCTCTAGCTTGAGGTGTACGTTTGCCTTTTGTGCAAACTCTCCCTGGTGAAGAGAGAGTGTGCAGGAGGAGACGGGAAGGGGATGGGGGTCCCATTTCCGGGAGAGAAGATTGGAAAAAGGTCCATGGAAACTTTGCCGCTAACTCACTGCTGTGGGACAAGGGTCCCACTCTCTTTGGGCCTCGGCCTTCTCAGTGGTAATACGGGTAATTTTGCACGAGCTTAGTGTATCGAAAATGGCCCTGTCGGAGTACTCATAACTGCCAGAGTTTATGCTACCTGGCGAATCCTGGGATCGGGAAATCTCTTGAGTTACATGTTAAAGGTAACCCTTTCCTTCCCTTCTCCCAGTCCTGTGCTTAAATATCAAATCTACAGCTCTCCTTTTCAACATTTTCACCATTCATGCGTGAAGTTGAGGTGCTTACCCCTTGGTAAGATGCACTACCTTTGTGTCCTGGACCTTCAGCCCCAGTTCTGGAAACAGTGATCAGATCACCACTGACCTTCTTTTCAGCCAAGACAGAGTTCCTTGCCCCAGAATGTGAGGAGCCTGCCTTCTCCCCACTCCTCTGCATGAGACCCAAGAGGAAGTTTGGATTTCGCTCACAGCATGTATCTGACCAAAGAATGTCTTGGAGCAGCCCAACTGTATCCCAGCACTTTTAAGTCTTAGAATTGCCTGGGGATGGCCCTCGGGGATCCCAGGACCTCTGTCCAGCTGTCCCTCTGGCTTCATCGACAAACCACTGTTTCTCCAGCTGATGGGTTATGAGAGGGCCTGGGAAGCAGTACAGGGGTGTTCAGGGGACAGAGAGGGAAGGCGGGGCAGACATCCAGGCCCTCAGCACCCAGAGCACTGCCCCTACCTGCTGAGTTACTCTACTGACACTGCAGCAGGAGTGAATGTCAGATTGGGTCCCGGGAGTCTTGAGTGCTGATCAAGGAGGAGGTGAGGAGGAGGAAAACCCAGGCAAAGGTTGCTGGAGGATGGAAGTGTGGGCTGAGAATCCCTTAATACCTCTCGCCCCTTGGCTGGTGCCACAGCATCCAAGATACATCCTAATGAGTTCAGCCTGTTGAAATCACCTGCCTAAGGGTCAGGTGATGGTACGGCTTCCCCACTGTCCCTTCATGTCGTCAGAAATGGTCGCGCCCTTGTGTAGTAATCACGTGTCAGCCTCTACCTTCCTGGCCCTTCTCAGAGGCTCCATCTGTAGGCTCAGTGCCCTCCTGTTCCTGGGCCTTGGAAGGCCCGGCAGGGCCCCTGCCCAGTAGCTCAGCTCCCCACTGCAGAAGCAGCTAGGGCCCCTCCTCGCTCAGCTCTCCTAGCCCCCAACTCTTGGTTCCTTAAGTTCTCTGCTGCAGCCTGGAGGCCTGAATGGCCTGCCACTCAGAACCAAGCCCGATGTGCCTTGCCAGGGTGGCTGGAGGAGACTATACCTGACTGCCTTGCTCCAGGCCAATTTCTGCTCCCTGCTTCCTGAGCTCCTGTCCTCAGCTGGAGGGGATGCCTGCAAAGGCCAGGTGGATTGTATCCCAGTGGGCCCCGCTTAAAATACTTCAGAGGGCAGTCTCAGATCCCTGCCCAGGTGGTGTGAGGAAGGGAGGTGTTTTATAGACATTTTTTGAATCAGTGTGGAGACATCAAGCGAATTCTGGCCCTGAACCCTCCACTCCCTCCTGAGCTCGAGTGTGTCAGTATGTTATCAGTGGTGTTCAGGGGCCCAGGGGAGACGCCTGAATTTTTCAGAAAAGCCTGATGTGACATTCACTGCTGGGACTCCTTTGCTTTCTACTGCCCATCCCAGCCTCCTTGCCCTTGGGGTTGGGAAAGGGCTGCTGAGGGGTTCTCTACCCTCCGCAGAGGCCCCCAGCAGGACTGAGCCCCAGTTGTCTGCGAAGGCAACCTGGTCGTTCATGCACTCTTTTTTGGCTTCTTCCTGGTCCCTGCCTCACTTTCCCACTCCCTTACAGGTGCTTGCTGGGGTCATTTTCTGAACAGATCTATTTGCATGTAAGTCCTTTCACACAGTTGTCTGTGGGGGAACCCAGCCTCAAACCCTGGGGCAAGCAGTACTGGGCCAGGCATTCTTTCAAGGGCTCTCTCTGTCTCTCTCTCCAAACCCATTCAGTCCTTATAACAATGCTGTGAGGGAGGTGCTGTTGATATTACTCCCATTTCACAGATAAAGAAACTGAGGCACAGAGAGGCTGGGACACTTGCAAAGGTCACGCAGCAAATAAGTGGGGGAGGCACGATCCACATCAGCTGTCTGACCTCAGAGCCACAACTCTTTTTTTTTTATTGTTATGTTAATCACC